GTATGCAAAGGACAGAATGTACTATATAAGCCTAATTTCATGTGACCAATAATGCCACCAATACTGCATTGCAGATATGAATAAAACAATAAGAAATGTTGTTATCCACACAACACTCACCTCATTCAAAATACCTTCATTTTGCAAATTTAGTAAACATCTGTAAAAAACCTGTAATAAAGTTATAGCTTGATTATTTATTTATTTGTCACTTAGATCAATAGCAGATAGCCTCATTACAGAATAAAACTCTTCAACCATGTCTTTAGTGATCTGGACAGAATATATGGATGTTATAATGAGAGTACTGTAAATACTTTATTTTCACTTCGAAATAATTTTTGCTATTTTCACTGAAGGAATGATTCAGTGAAAATAAAATCCATCGAATATACCTTTTTTTCCTATATTTTACATTCAACTCATCAAAAATCAGTTTAAATAAATTCCATACAAAACAACCTAAAAAGTATTTTAAATGAAAATTAATTTCAGCTAAAATAAAGTATTTTAGCGTATGCACTCAGTGTACAGTGATTGTATCAACTGATGCTGTTGTACTTCCTGAGTGCATACTTTACTGTTTTCATCACATGATATAGTAGACCTGCATCCAAAGATATGTGAATGTAATCTAAATAAACTAATCTAAGAATGGTGACGTAGCAGCAACGTTTTTTTACAGAATGGTAAATTCTATATTTAGTGAGCTGTCAACTGAGGGGATTGAACCCACAACTGAAGCAATGCAAACATACTAACGGTACGCATATGTAACTCTCTCCAATCATAAATAAAATGCAAAGCCACTTACATCTGTAATAACTTTTAGTTTGTTTATATAAGTAACTTCTGTAACCATTATTTCCCATATAGCCTCTTGTTGATCTCTTCCCCGTTTCCCCATTTCTTTGACTCCATCAACAATGTCAGTCCAAGCTCCCTAGAAATATACATACAATCAATATTATTCATATAATAACCTTATACAAGTTATATGATATTACCAGTACTAAGGATCTATAAGATAAGATCACATTTGATTTAAAAAAATAGTGATTTTGTGGTTTGTGTTCTTCTCAGATAATAATAGTGTCCTTGTTTATTCACAAAGTGTGTGATAAATAAGGTTTAATATGCTTTTGGATGTAGCACAAATCTTGCTCATTTCTGCTCAGGCAATCAAACATTTTCATGCACCTACTGTGTTCTGTGTTGCTATTGGTTAGAACTGACAAACATTTCCATACACCTACTGTGTTCTGTGTTGCTATTGGTTAGAACTGACAAACATTTCCATACACCTACTGTGTTCTGTGTTGCTATTGGTTAGAACTGACAAACATTTCCATACACCTACTGTGTTCTGTGTTGCTATTGGTTAGAACTGCATTCAATTGATGAGCACAAAATGGGATCATTTTAAATGTGAAAGTTTTTCCGCTTGTTTTATCTTCATTGCATATCATCGTACATAGTTATGGAAGTACCAGACTGTACCTGCGCAAATGGTACCAGACTGTACCTGCACAAATGGTACCAGACTGTACCTGCACAAATGGTACCAGACTGTACCTGTCCAAACGGTACCAGACTGTACCTGTCCAAAAGGTACCAGGCGGAACCCATCCTAAAGGTACCTGGCGGTACCCATTCAAATTGTACCAGGTGGAACCCGTCCTAATGTTACCAGGCAGTACCCGTCCAAATGATACCAGACTGTACCCGTGCAAATGGTACCAGACTGTACCTGTCCAAATGGTACCAGACTGTACCTGTTCAAATGGTACCAGACTGTACCTGTTCAAATGGTACCAGACTTTACCTGTTCAAATGGTACCAGACTGTACCTGTTCAAATGGTACCAGACTGTACCTGTCCAAATGGTACCAGGCGGAACCCGTCCTAAAGGTACCTGGCGGTACCCGTTCATATTGTACCAGGTGGAACCCGTCCTAATGTTACCAGGCAGTACCTGTCCAAATGGTACCAGACTGTACCTGTCCAAATGGTACCAGACTGTACCTGTCCAAATGGTACCAGGCAGAACCCGTTCAAATTGTACCAGGTGGAACCCGTTCAAATTGTACCAGGTGGAACCCGTTCAAATTGTACCAGGTGGAACCTGTTCAAATTGTACCAGGTGGAACCCATCCTAATGTTACCAGGCAGTACCCGTCCAAATGGTACCAGACTGTACCCGTCCAAACGGTACCAGACTGTACCCGTCCAAATGGTACCAGACTGTACCTGTCCAAATGGTTCCAGACTGTACCTGTCCAAATGGTACCAGACTGTACCTGTCCAAATGGTACCAGGCGGAACCCGTCCTAAAGGTACCTGGCGGTACCCGTTCAAATTGTACCAAGTGGAACCCATCCTAATGTTACCAGGCAGTACCCGTACAAATGGTACCAGACTGTACCCGTCCAAATGGTACCAGACTACCTGTCCAAATGGTTCCAGACTGTACCTGTCCAAATGGTACCAGACTGTACCTGTCCAAATGGTACCAGGCGGAACCCGTCCTAAAGGTACCTGGCGGTACCTGTTCAAATTGTACCAGGTGGGACCCGTCCTAATGTTACCAGGCAGTACCTGTTCAAATGGTACCAGACTGTACCTGTCCAAATGGTACCAGGCGGAACCCGTTCAAATTGTACCAGGTGGAACCCGTCCTAATGTTACCAGGCAGTACCCGTCCAAATGGTACCAGACTGTACCTGTGCAAATGGTTCCAGACTGTACCTGTCCAAATGGTACCAGACTGTACCTGTCCAAATGGTACCAGACTGTACCTGTCCAAATGGTACCAGACTGTACCTGTCGAAATGGTACCAGACTGTACCTGTCCAAATGGTACCAGACTGTACCTGTCCAAATGGTACCAGGCAGAACCCGTTCAAATTGTACCAGGTGGAACCCATCCTAATGTTACCAGGCAGTACCCGTCCAAATGGTACCAGACTGTACCTGTCCAAATGGTTCCAGACTGTACCTGTCCAAATGGTACCAGACTGTACCTGTCCAAATGGTACCAGGCGGAACCCGTCCTAATGTTACCAGGCAGTACCCATCCAAATGGTACCAGACTGTACCTGTCTGAATGGTACCAGACTGTACCTGTCCAAATGGTACCAGACTGTACCTGTCCAAATGGTACCAGACTGTACCTGTCCAAATGGTACCAGACTGTACCTGTCCAAATGGTACCAGACTGTACCTGTCCAAATGGTACCAGACTGTACCTGTCCAAATGGTACCAGACTGTACCTGTCCAAATGGTACCAGACTGTACCTGTCCAAATGGTACCAGACTGTACCTGTCCAAATGGTACCAGACTGTACCTGTCCAAATGGTACCAGACTGTACCTGTCCTAATGTTACCAGGCAGTACCCGTCCAAATGGTACCAGACTGTACCTGTGCAAATGGTACCAGACTGTACCTGTCCAAATGGTACCAGACTGTACCTGTTCAAATGGTACCAGACTGTACCTGTTCAAATGGTACCAGACTGTACCTGTTCAAATGGTACCAGACTGTACCTGTCCAAATGGTACCAGGCGGAACCCGTCCTAATGTTACCAGGCAGTACCCGTCCAAATGGTACCAGACTGTACCTGTCCAAATGGTACCAGACTGTACCTGTCCAAATGGTACCAGACTGTACCTGTCCAAATGGTACCAGACTGTACCTGTCCAAATGGTACCAGACTGTACCTATCCAAATGATATGTACATGATATCAATACAAGTGGTACCGGACATTAATTTATTGAAGTCATTGTGATAAAAGTGCAGTAAATTGCTAGAAGTCACTTGTTACATGTTTGAATGTTACAAGTAAAATACTGACTAACCAGTGCATACAAGTTTTCATTTTGAGTCTTGTTTTTTTTTCTCGGTGTATTCATTGTATCAGGATAATCAGGAATACCATGAACTGAATAGAAGTCTAACTTTTCTGTTAATGTATTCATTCTCTCTTTGTCCTAGAATAAAAATGATTGGTTTGTCAACATATATTAAGCCTTCCAGCAAAAAAGTACCAGGATGTGTGACCTCTTGAGGTCATGTATAAAGACTAAATGCTCTTGATAGCATTACAAAACATTAATTTAGTAAACAAACAGCATGCATGCATGCATGTACCCCATATGAAAATTTCTGTTTGACACACATATGTTTTGGCGATGCATAGTTTGTATGTCTGTTATCAGTTAGCTCAAAAGCTAATAACAGTAGAGTAACCAATGGATTAAATACTGGTTAATGAAATTCTGCATAGGTATGTCTCTAATGCATACTTTTGGATTCAAAACCTAAAATTTAAGACATGTTTTCGGTTCCCTCTCTGGACACCAACAGAATATTTACTGTTGTACATAACAAAAGAGCTCAGCACTGAACACAAAGAAATGTTTATCGACTTGAATCCAAATCCCCTTTGTAAGAGTTGTGAGCAAAAACGTAAAATTGACGAGAATTCACAATTATTAATTTAAAATTAATGTGCATGGATTTGAACCCAAACCTCTTCACATCTCAGTCTATTCATGGCACTATATAAATTCAGTTGAACATATTTAAATTATTGTTTCTATATTATATGATGGAAAATCAATTATTAATGAGAATACAGCATGTTTTGATGAAATATTTGTTCATTTTATGCAAAACACACTTCTACCTTCTAAGCATACACTTACCTTGTTCATAAACATTTCTCCCAATCTAAACGGTGTTCGTCTAATAGATTCCCCTCCTGATGGCAGTGGACTGGTTGGTACTGATGGTGACATACTATCGTTGATATAAGATATGATATTCTTTAAACCTCGCTGACTCTAAACAAACAAAATAAGATTATAGTTGTCATAGTTGTTGAAAATTAAAATTATTCAAAATATAATTAACCTTAGGTTTATAAAAATTGGTTGACAAATATGCATGTTTCTCTATACTACCAGAGCGTTCCAAATCAGAAAAATGCGAATGCGCATGCACATGCACGAGGTAGCTAGGATACTGGGATGTCCAGATGGATCAAAAAAGCTGCTCACGATATGACGAATTACGATAATTATATTTTCTGCATATTTTGGATGTATTACATTGTTTCACTATGAATGTGGTAATACATGTTTTATTGTTTTATTACAAACTGCCTATGTCATGTCAGAAAGTCGAAGTATCAGTCTCGCTTTCTACGAGATGAGACTTGAATGGGATCTTGACATGATGTCACCATACAGTACTATGCGCATTGCAAACCCCAAGAAATGTACCTCTGATACTACTTAGATTAATTCTTGGTTGGTATTTTTTAAATTGAATTCTTTGAACACAGCAATTTTTCATGCAAAATTTGGATGCAACATACATTGTGTTCACTAATCTATGTAAACCATGTTAACAACGGACGCGAAGACGGGAGAAAATAGAACAAGTTTTGTGTCTCTCTCATTCTCAACTGTAGTAGTGTTCACACTATACCAAGTACAGGCTAAGATTTAAGCTGATTTAGACTTATCCCACATATTTGTATTTCGGCTAGACCCAATTGCATCCACACCAGTCCCTAGGGGCTAAGGGGCGCCATCCGTCGGTGACCTTGTTAAGTCGCTGCTTACGAAAAATCCTTCTAATTTAGCTTGCATATCCTGGTAAGCATTTTTGTTGTTCCTCAGCGAGGAGTCCAACTGTCTCAAGATTTCGCTGTCTTTTCATATACTCAGTAAAGTTGCACATAGTTGATCAGGTACAAAATATTCACACCCAAAAGTCGCCACAGAGGGCGCTTAGCCCTGGGCTAAGCATTCACATACACTTCATTAACCCGCGTCTCAAAATCGGATCAGATTTATCCGTACTTTCCTTAGCCCATGCTAAGCGTTCACACACATGCAGGCTGAAGAATTTGACCTCTTAGCCGGTGCTAAGAAGCTGTACGTGAATGCAACTTATATTTCCATGGTGATTTGCATAAATGTGTTAAAATGTAAGGTTCTGTAAATGCATTAATTATTCACTGTCTTTTAATTTCGCTGATAAGTAAAATTTGCTAAATCAAATCTACATGGACATGTACCAATGTAAAACTAAAACTCATTGTTTCCTTGACAAATATGTTAAATTAAAACACAGTGAATATGCTCAAAACATCGAAATGGTAAAATTGAATGTCAGTGAAAATAAATGGTTTTACAGTATTTTTGCACAGTTGCCATCGTTGATCTGATTATGAAACACACTGATATGTATGATGTATGTGCCAAATACGAATGAAAATGGTGCATAAATTGTGGAAATATAGTAGTAAGGCCAAAAAGTCAGATGGCTGTCAATCGACCATCCTTGACCAGATTTTGGAACAAATTGTTATGGACATGCATCTTAACATGTATAAAGTACATGTATGTGCCAAATTTGAGTGAAAACTGACAGAGCACGTCTAAGATACCGCATAAAAAACAACAACAAGATGCCTGCCAGTCAACCATCTTTGATCCAATTGCAAAATACATCGCCATGGACATGTATCCTAACATGTATAATCTATGTACCAAGTTTGAATGACAACTGACAAAGTATGTCCAAAATACAACATTTTCAAAAAACAAGATGGCTGCCAGTCGGCCATTTTGTATTGAATCGCTAAACCACTGCATGTGCATATGTCTCACATAAAGTACTAGGCACATGCAAAGAATGAACAGAATTGCACGCACGCACGCACAGTCGTAGACCGAATTATAAGTCCCCATTTTCAGACTTCGTCCGAACGGGGACGAATAAAATCCAGTGAATATACCATTTTCCCTCTATTCAACTCATCAAAAATCAGTGTAAATAAACTCTATACAAGACAGCCAAAATGTATTTTTTGTATTTTACAGTATTTAAAATATCAGGTTTGATTTACCCCTTTTAACTTATCCTTGTCTTTATCTTTTATTGATTTCAATCTTGTTCTAGCTGATGTGTTATCAAAACTTGATCTTCTAAATGCATCTTTAACTGGATCCTTTGCTGTAAGGTACACACATTTATTATTAGAGAAATTAGAATTCTATAGAAAAAAAAAACATTGTATTTGGTCAAAACACATTTACACTCATTCCAAAGTTTAGAATTTGCATCACATTTCATCACATTAAAACACTTCTCCTTACAAGGAGTTTAACTACAATGTTACATTTGATGCAAATAGAACAGGTCACCGAAGACACATGATAAATTACTAAGATATTATTAAGTTATTATAGCCATCTATTTAGTGGTGGTTATAAAACTGTCAATACAAAAATACCATCAAAGGTTTATAAGATAAGATAATGCAACTTTAATATTTATGTATGGTGACAAGTGTATGCGATGGCAATTTCATGAGATCTCATGTTCTATACAAACATCAAAATGAAAAATTGCAAATGGCATTAAAGAATGCAGTAGATACATGGAAACGTTCAACTGTGTATAAAGCAAGAAATCACTATGATTATTGTCGTACACAAAAATGCAAAACACACTTTATGAATGATCATGGTTGCTAGCATAAACACACTTTATGAATGAGCATGGTTGCTAGCATAAACACACTTTATGAATGAGCATGGTTGCTAGCATAAACACACTTTATGAATGAGCATGGTTGCTAGCATAAACAGTCTATGGTGAACATTTACCAGTTCTTGTATGTTAATTGGTATTTTAATTACGTTATCACCCCACAATTTGCAGGATCTTTTCAATTCATGAGATCTTTATCGGGAATATCACATCCCTGCCAAATAAAAGACTCAATGGCCTAATAATTCTAATGAAAAGATACCTTTAACTGTCAGACTGTGACCTCCAAGGGGGTAGGTATCCAACTGTAGTGGTAACGGAGTGTTTGATTGGTCTAGGAATATATTCACAGAATCAAGGGACATTTTACGACACATAAATATGCATTCCAGAGCATCCCTGAAAAAGAACAGTTTGATATATATTCATGAATTAATAAACCAAAGATATAGAAGAATTAGAATATTATTGAAGGTTTCTGCCTGTGTTTAAATTTCATTTAAATTTCATTTAAACAAAGAAACTATTTTACATGTTGTGTACGTCGCTATGAGACCTATAATCAAACAAGATGTGACATGACAACCATCTATCATCACGTATAAGTGATTATAGCCTATATATAAATGTAACATTGTTCACAATCCCAAGGGACTGCGGGTAATTAAAAAATGCACACAACACATACATAGTTTTTTTTAATGAGGGAGGTAGAAGTAAAAGTTGATTTTAATTACTATGTGCAAAAATCATATTGTTTTCAATGTTTGTTTCATTTTTTTCATAAATGCAATCTTTTGTTTAGTTGAGAACGGTTGAATAATAAGTTATTAAAGAGTTTAAATTTACACAATTATTCATGGCTCCTTACACATATTAGACAGCATGCAAAACAATCTTGGCTTGTTTTTCATAAACAAGTTATTTTTAAAAGTCATCAAATAGATATTTGTTTAATACTGAAAACAAACTCACTGAATAAAATTCAAATTTAAATTCATCATTCTGTTAGGATAATTAAGATGATCTCCATAATTGAGAATGTTCATTCTGACAAAACAATTGTGTATATCTGGTGGGCAGTAAGCAGTGAGCTGTGATCATAACTTGTGATGAATGAACACACCTTAATGATCTTCCTTTAATTGCTGAAACGATCTCAACATCATCTTTATCACTTATATCAAACTTTAATGAAAACCATTCTCTGCTCTGATCCTAAAAATTATATAATGAAATCTATTAATGAGCAATTAAACACACATCATGTAAGATTTTATTGATTTTATTGCACTTACATCAGTGTGATGACGTCTGTAAGCTTTCTTACGTTGTAGTTTCACACTTCTTCTGGATCTTCTGTCTTTGGATGGACTGTAAGCAACAATAACTCTATATAGAATAAGTGTATTTAGTCACAACTTTGTATCGTTTTTGATATCAAGTCTTTCACAGTAAGCTGTAATGTCAACAGAGTGTTCTCTGCTTTCCTCATAAAAATATAAAATGCTCTGAGTGTGAAATAAATCTTTGGAAATGTGATTTTGTGTGACAAAGTATTTTACCATTACAGCGAGCGTAAGATATTTACATACACCTAACTCCCGCACTCAGTAGGTAATTACAGAGGGACTTTGCAACATCCCCAGATACTTTCCTAGACACTCCAATGACCGTTGTAGATGCAATAAAGTTGCATACACGCCTACGTGGCAGTTAATCAAACCAAAGAACCAGGGTTTCAGATGGGTTCAACTATTACAACGTGTAAGCGTCCAGTCAAACATTCATGAAAACAGCCATGTTTTACTCATTATTGATAACGGATACTTTATTGTTTTATGCATACATATGCTGGTTCATTTAATAAATTCTATTTTGAAAGTTTCAAGAAATAATAAACCTAGTTGATACAAATATTTAAAAACGCCCCTAACATATAATGGAATAACCCTCATGACAGTTTCTGATTTTGAACAATTATTACCATTATGTCAAAGGGTTTAGACGAAGACACTGAGATGGACATTATTCGCCTCTTGCAAATGATCGATGACAGAGGAAGTTAGACTAGCGAGGGCAAAGGTTCAAGAGACTGTGTTGCATTTCTGTCGCATCGGTTGTATACGTTCCGAGAAGAGTAGCGGGCGTCGTCGACTGAATGTTACACAAGAAATTGTTGAGTCTATCGAATTTTGTCTGAGATAGAAAGGATATTTGAAACCGGTATATGATGAAAGTGTGGCGGTGAAACTAATTAGAAAGGGAAAGTTTGACTGGGCGATGA